TAAATGCTTCATCTCCCTACCCCTCCTGCAGTGAACCTAATGTCCTCGATGACTCCCAGGGCCTGGCCGCTGAGGGCAGCCTCTCTAGGTACAGTGTCAATGCTCCCTGTCTATTGGTGTCTGTGCTGGGAAACTAGCTGTTCCCTATCTCTTCTGTCTCTGTCACCTCTCTCCCCGTCTTAATATCTATTTCCATACCTTGCCCTTTGTTGTTCATGAATACACGAGCCTGGAAGTCAAAGGTGTAGCAAACCCTCCTTCATTTTCAGCTTCAGAGAATAATCACGAATGGCCTATAAAGCTTATTAAATGCAACAAAAATCTGTGGGGTTCTCTATGGGGCTTTTCTCACAAACATTAAAAATGTTTGACATGTTAAATGTTAAATTTATCCCATCTAATAATTGTCTCCCACACTGATAGTCATTAAGAATTGTTTTTTAGAGATCTTTAATACAACTCTCCATTATCAGGAAGCCCCTTATTAAATTGAGACAGGTCTTTTAGCTAATACCATGGATGATAAGAAAACAAAATAATGCTATGAGAACAACAATGTTGATACCACTTATATAATTCCTTCTTGTTGATGCATGCTATTTGGCAAGCTATTATAGTAGCTTGTTCAAACAGCTCTTCAAAGGATGTCTGTTCCAGTACAAGGGTGACTCCAAAACTTGCCACGGAACATCAGACATGTGCATTTCTTGGCAAGTAATAGAAATCTTATGATGCAAATAATAAAATGTCTTGGCTATTGGTTTAAAACTTCAGGAAAGGGGACTGCACCTTTAACACTCAAATAAACCACGTCAAACATTCTTAATCTTGTGCTGTCGAGTCACACCTCTCAACTAATCCTCATTAGAGGTAATGCTTCTTGTTCATCTTTAAGAATGTCTTTGTTCCATCTCGAGAGAAAACATGTCCCTTTCCAGGTCTACATTATATAGTGAGTACAATATACACGTGTTTATTGCTTTATCACAAAGATGAGGAAATGTTGAGAGGCTGTTCCTGTGAAAGGTTGTCTTTTTGTTTTCTTCGCATTTTATTCAGATTTCACATTTTCTTTCACAACTGAAAATGAGAAATTTAGTCCATCATCAGGTGTACCTTTATTTTTTTAACCAGACTCATAATTCATGACATTCATTTGTGTTTGCGAGCCCTTGCCTTAACATACCAGTCTCTTATTGGTGGTAAATGTGGAAGTGCTGCAAAGTGCAGACAATTCTATTTATTAGTAGGAGCTTTAGGCACAAGAAGAAGTTGAGAAAGCAATCTTCAAGAGGGCCTCCCTTAATTATTCACAGTGTTTGAAGAGATCTGAACCAAGTTTAGCAGGGTGACCATTTACTTTCAAGGAAAGTATTTGTTTAACATTACATAAGGGATAGAAAAGCCTTGATTAAAAGATAATTTCAGTGCTCTATAGAGAGTAGAAAATATTGACTCAGACTTCCATTTGGCTGGCTTTGTACTGTGTCTTTTATAATTAGTCCAAATCCTACTCTTGATAGGTACTAGCACAGGGTTGGTGAGAGAAGGCAGGAATTTGAGTTTAATTTTTTATGAAAAGTTTTGGCCCTCTCTGACAGGCTCTGGGTTCAAATGACTTGATTTGTAGTTATCTAAGTCTGCCCTGGGTCCAATGTCAATAGGAATAATGCTAAAGTTCTTGCTAGGTAAGACTGAATTAGAGACAAAACTATAGATTTTATCTACAACTGAATTAGTCAATCCTATCAGTACTTTGATGACTCTCTTAGATCAATTGTTACTGATCTGTTCCTGTACCACTACACTTTTGTTCTGGGTGTCAGTCATTCAGACCAAGTTGTCACTGAGAAATGGGAAGATAAGGCATTTATTTTAGATTCTGAAATTATACTATTTACAGAGATGCATGTCACCAATAGCACATCCACCTTTGCCATATGCTGCAAATTGTAGCTCTTGAACTCCATCTTGTCACCAAGTTCTCTTTGGAGGAGAGGAACTTTTGGCATTTACTAGGAGATGCGTTTACATAACAGAACATACACGTGGTAATGCTTCTTGTTCATCTTTAAGAATGTCTTTGTTCCATCTCGAGAGAAAACATGTCCCTTTCCAGGTCTACATTATATAGTGAGTACAATATACACGTGTTTATTGCTTTATCACAAAGATGAGGAAATGTTGAGAGGCTGTTCCTGTGAAAGGTTGTCTTTTTGTTTTCTTCGCATTTTATTCAGATTTCACATTTTCTTTCACAACTGAAAATGAGAAATTTAGTCCATCATCAGGTGTACCTTTATTTTTTTAACCAGACTCATAATTCATGACATTCATTTGTGTTTGCGAGCCCTTGCCTTAACATACCAGTCTCTTATTGGTGGTAAATGTGGAAGTGCTGCAAAGTGCAGACAATTCTATTTATTAGTAGGAGCTTTAGGCACAAGAAGAAGTTGAGAAAGCAATCTTCAAGAGGGCCTCCCTTAATTATTCACAGTGTTTGAAGAGATCTGAACCAAGTTTAGCAGGGTGACCATTTACTTTCAAGGAAAGTATTTGTTTAACATTACATAAGGGATAGAAAAGCCTTGATTAAAAGATAATTTCAGTGCTCTATAGAGAGTAGAAAATATTGACTCAGACTTCCATTTGGCTGGCTTTGTACTGTGTCTTTTATAATTAGTCCAAATCCTACTCTTGATAGGTACTAGCACAGGGTTGGTGAGAGAAGGCAGGAATTTGAGTTTAATTTTTTATGAAAAGTTTTGGCCCTCTCTGACAGGCTCTGGGTTCAAATGACTTGATTTGTAGTTATCTAAGTCTGCCCTGGGTCCAATGTCAATAGGAATAATGCTAAAGTTCTTGCTAGGTAAGACTGAATTAGAGACAAAACTATAGATTTTATCTACAACTGAATTAGTCAATCCTATCAGTACTTTGATGACTCTCTTAGATCAATTGTTACTGATCTGTTCCTGTACCACTACACTTTTGTTCTGGGTGTCAGTCATTCAGACCAAGTTGTCACTGAGAAATGGGAAGATAAGGCATTTATTTTAGATTCTGAAATTATACTATTTACAGAGATGCATGTCACCAATAGCACATCCACCTTTGCCATATGCTGCAAATTGTAGCTCTTGAACTCCATCTTGTCACCAAGTTCTCTTTGGAGGAGAGGAACTTTTGGCATTTACTAGGAGATGCGTTTACATAACAGAACATACACGTTTTTTTTTTTTTAAAGAATATATTCTTTTAATAATTGGTTTCCAGACTTTCTTACTTTTGGCATGAAATTTCTTTGTGCTTCATACTCTTAATATCCTAAACAGTATGGCATTAACCATGTAAATTACATTTGGTACACACTTTATCACTGAATACCTAAAATACACCCACAGTAATCTTAAGGAAAATCTGAACCCAGCGTTTAGACTATCAGGAAGCATGCCTAATGAAAAATAATAATCCCTGTTTCTTCCAACTGTCCATCCATAACAATTTGCTAAAATTTCATGGGATTTGCTTTTGAAAGAGTACTTGTTTGGGACCAGCAGTTGGCATAATGGCTCTGTCGCTGGACTCCCATGTGGTCGACCACGGTTCGAGTCCTGGACCTGGTGGCTTAAACTCAGGCCAGGTGCATGTGCATGCATGCCCAAGATCCCGAGAGGATAATGGAGGAGAAGGGATTGCAGTGTGACCATCCTCCCTGGGGGGG